TGCGGTGGTTTTTTGGAAATGTGTTTATTCGTGCTGATTATAGGAGTCGTGCGTGAAACCGGAAAGCAGGGGGACCATAGAGGGAAAGATGAGCTGGCCGTGATTCTAACAGCCAGGGGTGACTGCTGCTCACCCTGGGGTGCGTTCCTTCCAGACCTTCTGTCCATGGGTGCACACGCACTCACGTACGCACTTCACCTAGCTGAGGCAGGAGGAGACGGCCACCCACAGGGGACACCAGCATAGGTTTCCTGGCCACCAGGGGAGTGGGCGATTGCTCTCTTTCTGTCTCCCTCTCCCCTCCCCAGCCCTCCCTCACTTCCTCTTTTCAATTTTTTAGAAGTTAATTTTCCACTTATTTATGGCTGATGATTAGAGATGCGGTTGGTTTTTTATCAGGTTTGAATACGGTTACCCTCTGACATTTCCTAGTTAGTCAGTTCTAATACTGCCCTTATGTATCCCCTCGTGTTTGCTAAGTATGCAGTTGCATAGCCTCCAGTGAGGGTAAGCGCGGCTCCCCCGGCAGCCTTGTACCGCTGTGTGGGACGGAAGCCTCGCCCCGGACGTCGCCGCCTCCCTCCTCGTCTTCCGTAGTGAGCGCTCCATCTCAGCACCACTGGCACCACTGATGGCGTGAGCCGCGCGGTTTCGAGTGGACTGTCCTGTACTAGTTTAGGAGTTTGTTGTCCTGTACTAGTTTAGGAGTTTGTTGTCCTGTACTAGTTTAGGAGTTTGACTGTCCTGTACTAGTTTAGGAGTTTGACTGTCCTGTACTAGTTTAGGAGTTTGTTGTCCTGTACTAGTTTAGGAGTTTGTCCTGTACTAGTTTAGGAGTTTGACTGTCCTGTACTAGTTTAGGAGTTTGTCCTGTACTAGTTTAGGAGTTTGTTGTCCTGTACTAGTTTAGGAGTTTGACTGTCCTGTACTAGTTTAGGAGTTTGTCCTGTACTAGTTTAGGAGTTTGTTGTCCTGTACTAGTTTAGGAGTTTGACTGTCCTGTACTAGTTTAGGAGTTTGTTGTCCTGTACTAGTTTAGGAGTTTGTCCTGTACTAGTTTAGGAGTTTGACTGTCCTGTACTAGTTTAGGAGTTTGTCCTGTACTAATTTAGGAGTTTGTTGTCCTGTACTAGTTTAGGAGTTTGTCCTGTACTAGTTTAGGAGTTTGTCCTGTACTAGTTTAGGAGTTTGCTTCCTGCTCCTCGGTTGCTGTAAGTCTTGTTTCGTATCATATATGTGGATTTTTGTCAAGTGGTTTTCCTCTTCTGTCCTACGATTGTGTCACTCGCCCGGGAACGTGGCGAGTCACTGACTCAGACGTGACACCAGCCTTGCTCTCGGTCACCACGTGTTGCCTTCTCAGTGCTGCTGGGTTTTGTTTGCTAAATTTGTAAAGAAGTCCTCAGGCATCTCCTTCACGAGTGGGTTCTGCGTTTCCCTCTCTCGAGCAGCTCTGTGTGGCCCTGAGCGCCGAGTCCCAGCGGTGTCAGGAACCGCGCTGGGGACGCGCACCTCCTGAGCTCCGCTCTGCCACCGGCCGGGGCTGCAGCCCGTGACTGCTCCTGAGAACGGACCAGGAGCCACGGAGGCCGAGGAGCCCTGCTGGGGGATGTTCCAAGTCGCGAGCTGAGTTTTGAGAGAATTAACTCAGAACTATTTGAGTTTCCTTTCTCCTGCGGCCATCTCTGGTAGTTTGTTTTTTAACAAGTTCCGTTTCATCTCAGCCGTCAGATGTGCTGGTATCCCTCCACCATCCTTGATAAAGCTCGCCTCCTGTCTCGAGTGATTTTACGTTCACAGGGAGACCGTGGAGGTGGGACGTCCCCCACGCCCGGCCCCTCCCAGCAGTGTCTCATTGCTGTGCACATTTCCACCGCTGACTGCCGACGCTCCGCTGCTGACCCGGCCCATGCTCTGTGCACCGGCCCTCGGTCCTCCCGAGTGTCCTTCCCGCTGCTCCAGGACTGGCGGCCGTGCCCCGCCATGTTTGCTGGTCACACGCGCTTGGTCCCATCTTGGTTACGACAGTTACACACAATGGCTTTGTGCTTTGACCTTGCACGTTTTGGGGGTGACTGGTTAGGTAAAGATTGGGGTTTGGCTGGTTAAGCTAGAGTGGTGTGTTTGGGGGAGAAAACCCACAGAGATAAAGCGCCGTTCCCGTTATTTCACGCCAGAGGCGCACAGCATCCGTGTGCCCTGCCGCTGTGACCCGAGTCTGGATCACGTGGCTCGAGGTAGCGTCTGTTTGCTTTCAGCCCATCTGCACCTTTAGACTGAATGTGTCTCATTGCGACACTGTGACTTTGGGTCTTTTATTTTTATGTCCTTATTTCAAAGATTTCAGTGATTTATTTGAAAGTTACAGAGACAGAGGAGAGATGGAATTCCTCCACCTGCTGGTTCACTCTCCAGGTGCTGCGATGGCTGGGGCTGGGCCAGGCTGAGCTTCTTCCTGGTCTCTCACACGGAGGCAGAGGCCCAGGGACCTGGGCCGTCCTCTGCTGCTTTCCCAAGTGCATTAGCAGGGAGCTGGACTGGAAGTGGAGCAGACAGGACTTGAACTCGCGCCCATAAGGAGTGTTGGTGCTGCAGGCAGTAGCTTAACCTGTTGGGCCACAGTGCTGGCCCTGGGTCTGGCTTTCAAAAAATGTATTCCGGGGCCAGCACTGTGGTGTAGCTGGGAAAGCCGCCGCCAGCAGTGCCGGCATCGCATATGGGCGCCGGTTTGAGTCCCAGCTGATTCGAGTATTGGCTGCTCCACTTCTGATCCAGCTCTCTGCTGTGGCCTGGGAAAGCAGTGGAAGATGGCCCAAGTCCTTGGGCCCCTGCACCCACATGGGAGACCTGGAGGAAGCTCCTGGCTCCTGGCTTCGGATCGGCTTAGCTCTGGCTGTTGCAGCCATCTGGGGAGTGAACCAGCAGATGGAAGACCTCTGTCTCAACCTCTCTCTGTAATTCTGCCTTTCAAATACATAAATAAATCTTTATTAAAAGATGTACTCTTCCCGACATTTTCCCCGAAATTTTAGCATTTACAGTAGTAAGGGGCAGGAGCCGAGCCGTCCCCATGTGTGTCTGTGTGCACACGCCCTCTGCCTCGCAGGAGCGCCCACAGGAAGTCCTGCCCTGTGACGGCGCGAGCCGACCCACAGTCCCAGTCTCCCTTCTCCTAACGGCCACCAGCTCAGCCATCACCGTGGCCGTGCTGCGTGCGAGTTGGGCAGCCACGCTCCTACACCTGCACAGGAGCCCCGCCCCCAGCTGGAACCAGTTCCTTGCACGCGGCGTGGGGCGGGGGGCAGGCATCGCTCAGCCGTCCTTCATGCTGGCCCGGGACTCAGCGGCCAAAGGATCTCCCGATGTCCTCTGCGTTCCTGACTTCCGAGCACCCCAGGTGGATTTGAGTTTGCTCAGCGACTTTCCGCGGAGCCACTGCTTGTTAGCCGCCGGTCGGTCTCGTGCCCACTCTGCCGCCTGGAGGGTCAGCGGCGCAGTGACACAGAGGGTCAGGTGCCTGAATGGTCGCTGGCATGCAGCCTGCAGCTGAGGCTTGGCCTCTCCCCCGACCCTGTAACCGCCCGGTGGGTGTATCCTTCTCGTGGTCAGATGAGAAGATGGGGTCAGAGGGTGGGCTGCTCGTCTGGGGGCCCAGCAGCGTGGGCAGGGGTGGGCCACTTGTCTGAGGGCCCAGCAGCGTGGGCAGGGGTGGGCCACTTGTCTGAGGCCGCAGCAGCGTGGGCAGGGGTGGGCCGCTCGTCTGGGGGCGCAGCAGCGTGGGCAGGGGTGGGCTACTTGTCTGAGGCCGCAGCAGCGTGGGCAGGGGTGGGCCGCTCGTCTTGGGGCCCAGCAGCGTGGGCAGGGGTGGGCTGCTTGTCTGAGGCCGCAGCAGCGTGGGCAGGGGTGGGCTGCTTGTCTGGGGGCCCAGCAGCGTGGGCATGGGTGGGCCGCTCGTCTGGGGGCCCAGCAGCGTGGGCAGGGGTGGGCTGCTTGTCTGAGGCCCAGCAGCGTGGGCAGGGGTGGGCCGCTCGTCTGGGGGCTGCAGCAGCGTGGGCAGGGGTGGGCCGCTCGTCTGGGGGGTGCAGCAGCGTGGGCAGGGGTGGGCTGCTTGTCTGAGGCCGCAGCAGCCTGGGCAGGGGTGGGCCGCTCGTCTGGGGGCTGCAGCAGCGTGGGCAGGGGTGGGCCGCTCGTCTGGGGGCCCAGCAGCGTGGGAGGAGCAGGCGTTCGCACTCTGCCCTGCCGAGTCCCACGCCCACGCCCAGGCCCGCCTCAGCCAGTTCCTGATGCCGCCTTGCAGCTCCAGCCTCGTGTGCCTTGCGCTGTGGACCCATGCCAACCCTGCCACTTCCTTTCCGAACAATGTTCCAAGCGCTTACTCTTGGTCTGGGAGATTTTAAGTCCTTGCCGGTTTTCTGCTGCTTCTCTCATGCACCCAGGCCCCACCTCAGCGCCTGCTCAGTGAGAAGCCAGCATGGCCCTCACGGGCCGGGAATCAAGGTGTCGGCTGTGGCCGAGCCTTTGGGAAAATCCGCTTCTCGCCTCGCTGGCTTCTGCATCCTCCCCACGTTTTTGGTGCTGCCAACGGCACACGGGTCCGGCCTTTCTCGTGTCATCACCCCTTCCTGGCTGCAGCCGGGGAACCCTCCCCCCACCTGTGATTAGGTTGGGCTCAGCTGGTGACCCCGCCCACCCTGAGCCGCCCCGGTGAAGGCGCCGGTGACCCGGCCACAGAGCCCAGGGGTTCGGCCGTGGCGTCCTGCCCTGTGATGGAATATTCCCTCCGCAGGAGAATCAAATCCCTGTGTTCCTTCCTTCATGGCTGCCACCTCTAGCCAGTGTGGAGGCGTGGAGCTGCGTCTAATCTGTTTGATGTTTCTGCTGTACTAAATGACTTCGTTTACTGCAGATGGGAGACTGCGCAGTTCGCCGCGGCTGTCCTCCGTGCAGTGCTGCAGGGGAAGCCGCCTAACAGGTTCTGCTTGCTCGTCTTTTACATCCAGATTCGGACTTAGAACCACCAGTAGAATCAACTGGAAGCAATTTCTGACATCATTCAATGAGCCTCAGGGGTTGGAAGGCAACAGTTTGGCTCCCCTGGCAAGGAGAAATGGGTACGTGACGACAGCATCTGCCGACTGTGCCTGAGCCGCGTCCGGGTGTTCCATGGCCGGGGCGGTAGGCGGGCATCCCAGGGTGGCCGCGGCGTAGTTCCAGGGTCCCCGCGGGTGCCGAGACCCAGGGAAGCCACGTCCCTGACGTGAAACAGAGTAGTACCCGCACGCCCTCCACGTGCAGGCTGCTGCTGACACCGGGCGCGGCGTGAGTACCACGTACGTCGTCAGACCGCATGTTCAGGGAGTGAGAAGCAAGGCCTTCACGTGTTCAGACACAGCTGTTTTCTTTTTTTTTTTTCCCAAGAATTTTGCTGTGGGCGTGGTTGAGTCGTGGTGCAAAAGGTGGAACATGTGTGTGTGTGTCCCCGCTCTCCCCAGCTCTGCACACAGCCCACACCCTGGGGCGTGGGGGTCGCTCACCCCGGACACCCGGGCTGCCGTTGTCCTGCCAACATCTGTGGGCCCTGCAGGTTCACAGCTTCGCGCAAATCGTGGGGCGGGGGGTCCCCGGCACCGTGGGGAAGAGGCCGAGTCACACGACAGCTCAGAGTTCCGACTTCGGAGGCGTCTGTCTGCCGCTGATTGTTCCACAGGGATCTCAGGGAGACCCCAGGCGTCAGAGTCCCTCGCGTGCTGTGACACGGTGTGCTGCTGTCGAGTGACGCACACCCAGAGCTCCTTCCTTGTCCTGGGCGCCCGCCTCGACGTGGGGACGAGTTAGTGAACCCTCGTCGTCTGCTTCCAGGTCTTCAGGGCCCTGGGATGCCACTATAACTTCATTTTTTTTTTTCTCCAAGATTTTATTTATTTCTAAGGCAGAATAACAGAGAGAGAGCGAGAGAGAGAGCGAGAGAGAGAGAGAGAGCGTGCACGCACAAGGGCTTTCGCTTTTGGCTCCTCCCCAAAGGGCTGCAGCAGCCTAGCTGAAGCCAGGATCCTGCGACTCCAGCCGGGTCTCCCACGGGTGACGGAGGCCCAAGCACTGGGGCCGTCATCCACTGCCTTCCCAGGCACATTAGCAGGAAGCTGGGTTGGAAGCAGAGCAGCCAGCCTTGGCCGCTTTCCTGGTCTCTCTTGGAGACCAAACCCGCAGGTTTGCGAATGGCTGGCCGGAGTTGGTGCCGGTACAGCAGCGCTGACGCCCAGGCGAGTGGCATCGGGCCTCTGCCTCCGGCGCCAGCTGATGACTCGCTGGCGGACAGACCCACCCGGTGCACGGCATGTCAGCCGCAGGAGCCGTCTGCAGACCAGTACTGCGACGCTGGCCGCGTGGGTGCTTGTCCCTTGTATTTAGAGAGAACAGAGGGGCCGGCACTGTGGCACATGGTAAAGCCAGCACTGGCGGTGCCGGCATCCCCGTCTGGGGATGGTTTGAGACCCGACTGCTCCTCTTCCAATCCAGCTCTCTGCTCGTGCACCTGGGAAGGCTCTGGGAGGTGGCCCAGGTGCTTCGGCCCTGCACCGGGAAGAAACTCCTGGCTTCAGATTGGCCCAGCTGCAGCCCTTGTGGACATCTGGGGAGTGAACCAGTGGGTGGAAGACCTTGTTCTCTCTCTGTCTCTGACTTTCAAATAGTAAATAAATCTTAAAAGAAAGAAAGAGCACCAAGAATGTGGTCTGACTGTCTTCCTGCTGATCCGTCCGCAGCCTCGGCTCCAGGAGTCAGCCCCGCGCGGAGAGCGCCGCGGCGAAGCTGCTGCGGCTGGCCGAGGACCGCTGCGTGTCGCTGAAGAAGGTGCTGCAGGTCATCCACAGCGTAAGACCCTGGAACCCTCCTCCGCGAACAGCGTGAGGTGTCAGAGCTGCCCTGAGCCCCGGGTGGGCAGGGACCGGCAGCCCCGGCCGCAGGAGCTCGGTGCAGCCGGCAGGCAGGTGCCGCGGCCGTGCCAATGAGGCCCTGGAGCCTGGCGTGCCGCGTCTGCGCTCACGGCGGATTAGCACGTAGCCCAGAGCTGTTCGGGCTGCCGCACCCTCGCCTGGAGTTGTCAGCTCGCCGCTACCGCGTTCCTAGGTCAGGACCATTTTCCTGTCCCAAAATGGCTGATTTGGTCTTGAGAACGGCGCTGCGGAGGCTCCTCCGCGAGCTGGCCTTCTCTGGTGGCGAGCCTGCTCCTGCTGTCTCAGAGCGCCGCGTCTGCAGCTTTGATGTTCCGCCTTCGCCCATCTTGCCTGTCCAGGGTTGGGTGAATTACCTGTCCTTGGCCTCACTGGCCTTGCAAAGCCTGCCAGCCATGAGCCCCAGGCAGCACCCTGGCCGGGAGGTGGCCTCAGGGTTTGCCCGTTGGCCCCTGGGCTGGCGACAGAAGCTCCGGCCACTGTCAGTCCTCGCCCAGTGTGGATTCAGAGACGCTGGACTCTGCGTTCCTGGGGACACTGTCTAACGACGGTGGCCCCCAAATCCGTTCCAAGTCTGCCCACAGATGCCCGAAGCCATGGACAGCACCAGCCCTCCCTGGTCGTGTGCCCTGCCTGGTCACATTGGGTTGCCATTGAACACACGTGACCACGTGACTTCCACAGGCCCACTGGAAGAGCCTGCCTCCCACCTCGGCTGGGAGTGGCTGGGCCTGGGCAGAGCCGTGACCGACAGAGTAACACAGTAAGAGTGCCGACGGCAGCGAATGGTGACGCAGAACCGTCAGACGGTGTGCCAGGGTCAGAGTCACGTGGACGCAGAACCATCAGACGGTGTGCCAGGGTCAGAGTCGCGTGGACGCAGAACCATCAGACGGTGTGCCAGGGTCAGAGTCGCGTGGACGCAGAACCATCAGACGGTGTGCCAGGGTCAGAGTCGCGTGGACGCAGAACCATCAGACGGTGTGCCAGGGTCAGTCACGTGGATGCAGAACCAGGGGAGCCGTGTGCCAGGGTCAGTCACGTGGACGCAGAACCATCAGACGGTGTGCCAGGATCAGTCACGTGGACGCAGAACCATCAGACGGTGTGCCAGGGTCAGTCACATGGACACAGAACCATCAGACGGTGTGCCAGGATCAGTCACGTGGACGCAGAACCATCAGACGGTGTGCCAGGATCAGTCACGTGGACGCAGAACCAGGGGAGCCGTGTGCCAGGGTCAGTCACGTGGATTCAGAACCAGTGGAGCCGTGTGCCAGGGTCAGTCACATGGACGCAGAACCATCAAACGGTGTGCCAGGATCAGTCACGTGGATGCAGAACCATCAGACAGTGTGCCAGGATCAGTCACGTGGATGCAGAACCATCAGACGGTGTGCCAGGGTCAGAGTCACGTGGACGCAGAACCATCAGACGGTGTGCCAGGGTCAGTCACGTGGACGCAGACCCAGGGGAGCCGTGTGCCAGGGTCAGTCACGTGGATGCAGAACCATCAGACGGTGTGCCAGGGTCAGAGTCACGTGGACGCAGAACCATCAGACGGTGTTTCAGGGTCAGTCACGTGGACGCAGACCCAGGGGAGCCGTGTGCCAGGGTCAGTCACGTGGACGCAGACCCAGGGGAGCCGTGTGCCAGGGTCAGTCACGTGGACGCAGACCCGGGGAGCTGTGTGCCAGGGTCAGAGTCACGTGGACGTGGTCTCTCTTTCTCAGTCTGAGGTTGACTGAGCAAACGCAGGCAGGGGCACCCTGCTGTCTCCGGGGCCCTCTGTCGAGTGTGCACCGTGTGCCTGCACCGCCTTCCGGGATTTGCCTCTGGGAGGCAGACAGCAGCGTTATCTCCATTCACAGATGGGGAAAGGGAGCCTCCCGGGCTGGGGGTCCTGCCACAGGCACCCCGGGAGAGTGGAGCAGGCGCCCCCTGCTGGCCGTGCGCTGGCTGAGCCGCCTGGGAAGGCTTGACCTGTTTCCCCACGCCAGGTGCTATCAGGGTATTAAGGAGGTAATGTAATTAAGAGCAGTGAGCTCTTCGTGGCCCTTAATGGGGGCTGTAGCAACACTACCCTCTCCAGTGTTAGCCTCTGGGCGAGACGCTACAGTGGTGCCCACACAGGCAGCGCAGGTTGGGGCTGGGCCCCTGGCCCAGAGCTGCCAGGCTATGCCTGCCCCCAACCACGTCAGACGGCCACAGGGACCCTCTGTGCCTCAGGTGCACGGGCCTGGGTCTGGGGTGGAGCCCGTCCTCCCCACCACTGGCCTCAGTTGGCCAGATCAGGACAGCAGAGCATGGGCAGGGCCAGGTGCTGGGCCTGTCTGTGGGGGGCGGCTGGGGCCAGGCCCCCGTCCTGCCGAAGGCCGCATGGTGTGTAGGAGAAAGGCTACTTTGGATCTGCTGCCCGTCCTGTACCCCACTGGCCATGTGTGCCGCCCCCAGAAGCCGCCCACTGTCTGCTGGTGCCCAGCAGTCGGGCCTCCCTCCGGTCGGCATGGCTGCCTTCCTGCCGCTTGCTCACCACCGTGCTCATTCGTGCTGCTATTGTGTGCAGCTGATGTGATGTTATTAATAGAAAACCCCGAAGAATCTTCCCTAATAATAGCACTTAGAAGGCCAGAAAATGCGAAGGCTAATCATATTTCTGCAGCCTGCAATAAACAGAATTTTTAAAATACCATTGCTAATAACATCTTTCTAAAAATCAAACTCTTAGAAACATATCCAGGCTGGCATTGTGTCTCACTTAGCTAATCCTCTGCCTGTGGCGCTGGCACCCCGGGTTCTAGTCCCGGTTGCTCCTCTTCCAGTCCAGCTCTCTGCTGTGGCCCAGGAAGGCAGTGGAAGATGTCCCAGGTGCTTGGGCCCTGCACCCGCATGGGAGACCGGAGGAAGCACCTGGCTCCTGGCTTCAGATCGGCGCAGCGCCGGCCATAGCGGCCATTAGGGGAGTGAACCAATGGAAGGAAGACCTTTTTCTCTCTCTGTCTCTCTCTCACTGTCTAACTCTGCTGTCAAAAAAAAAAAAAAATCCAACAAAAATGTGCAGATTCTCACTGAAGACTACGGAGGTCGCTACAGAAGCGCGACCAGCCCTTCACGAAGCCTCAGCAAACAGGAGCAAGAAGCACTGTGCTGGTCTCTCTGGAGTCAGTGCTTCCCTGACAGCAAATCCAGACGAGGTCCTCGGAGGAAGCCCGACCATGTCCTCGGTGACGACCGTCGCGAGTGCCAGGGGGCCTGAGCGGTCCCATGTGACCAGGACCGAGTGCAGCTCACAGGGTTTATCTCAGGATTGCAAGATTGGTCTAACTTCCTTGAAAATCAGTCGGTGCAACACACAGTGTTGATGGCATTAAGGACAAAGCTTCGTGGTCGCTAATAAAACAAATAGACGCAGAGACCAAAACTCGTTTACAATAAAACTTGTGAGAAAATTGTAATCGAGGGGGCATTCCTTCGCCTGAGCGGGGCGTTTATGATAAACCCGAGGCTAACAGCAGCGTCAATAGCAAGAGAGTGCGTCGTTCCTCCTCCAGTTCAGGGACGACCTGGGGGTGCTGGCCCTCTCGGCTTCTGTGGGGAGTGCAGGCGGGAAGGAGGAGGGAGAAGCCCAGCTGCTGTGTGAAGTCAGCAGTCACCCAGTGCAGAGAAGGTTCAGGGAACGCACGCGCACACCACCCACTCGCGCCGCAGGGACCAGTTCACGAAGGTTGCCGGATACAAGCTCAGTACACAAAAATTAGCCGTAACGGTGTAGACCAGCAGAGAGCAATCTGAAAACGAACCTCAGGAAGCAGCTCCATCCACTATGGCACAAAACGAATCGAATACCTGGGACTGTGTTAACAGAAGAAGTGCCAGAGCTGTGTACTGAAAATTACGAAGCATCGGTGAAGATGGAAGGGAAGGCGAGACTGCGTGTTCGCGGATCGCGAGCCCCGGTGTTACTGCGGCGAGCCTCTGCAGACTGACCTGCAGTCGCTGCAGACCCTCCCCAGACCGCAGCCGGCTATGCCACGGCTGAAGAGCTGGTCTGAAAATTCATATGAAACGGGGCTGGCACTGGGGCATAGCAGGTTAAGCCGCTGCCTGAGGTGCCAGCATCCCATGTGGGTGCCAGTTCTTGTCCCGGCTGCTCCTGTTCTGATCCAGCTCCCTGCTGATGCGCCTGGGAAAGTGGTGCAGCATGGCCCCTGCTGAGGCCCCGCCCCCATGTGGGAGGACTGGGAGGAAGCTCCTGGCACCTTGTCACTGAGCTGCCGGGAAGTTTCGGGGCCTGTGTGACTGAGCCACCCAGGTGGGGCCGAGGGAGAGGGGCCCTGTCCAAGCTGTCCCAGGCCTCGGGGAAGGGGGTCGGCCTGTGCTGGAGCCGCGAGGGCCGCCTCCTGCCCTTGTCCTGGCAGAGAAGGCTGGAGGAATCGGTGCCTGGAATGCTCTAGCCTCCCCTTCCACGCTGCGCTTGGCTCGATGTGTCTTGCAATGATCGTGTCGGCTGAATTCCTCTCAAACCAGAGCTGGCTGTTCATTAAATGATGCTCAACACGTGTAACACTTCTCCTCCCCCCCCCACCCCCGCCCCTTTAAAATTCCCTCGGTCACCCTCTCGTACTCAGAAACCCGACGGCCAGATCACGGGGGAAGAATTGCGACACGTCCTGAATTGCATGGTTGCGAAGTTGAGCGATTCGGAATTCAAGGAACTGATGCGGACACTCGACCCCAGGGCCACGGGGGTGGTCAGTGTGAGCCAGTTCACGGCCCTGCTGGAGGAGAAGCCCAAGGTGAGGTGGACAGCGGCCTCCCGCCCGCCCCCCGCGGTGGGGGCTCCCCGTGGAGCGAGTGGGGTCCAGGGAATGACCACGGTTACGCTGCGTGGACGGCCCCCTGCGGTGGGAGCCTCGCCCAGGCCGCTGCCTGACGTGCTGGGACCCGTCCTCCAGCCTTCGCCCGCAGTGTCCGGGAGGTCACTTTTCCCAGGGCTTCCGTCGAGGCTGCGTGCAGCGTCCCAGGCAGTCTCACCCGAGAGCTGCGTCCGAAACTCCGGGAGCCGTCAGCACGCACACTTCTTAGGGTCTGGGGGAAGTCAGGTTGCCTGCGGCTGACGTGTGCCCTGGGCTCCCGCAGACCCTGGCTGGGTGTTTGCTGGACAAATCAGCTCTGAGCGTTGGGTCCGTGGAGCTGATGCACCCGTGCTTCTCACCGGTGACCTCGGGAGAGGCCATGCACCCGACGGGCGCGGGTCGGGGACGGCGGCGAGGAAGCTCAGCGAGCCGTGCTCTGATGGCGCGGCCCCTGTGCCCCGCGGTGGACGTGTCCTCGGAGGAGCTCCGCCCGGGGGCTTTGCAGCGCGGGCTCACAGAGACACGTCTGGTTAAGACGGCAACGTGTATTGGCACCAGGGGTCGTATTTCAGCGACCTCCAGGGTGGACATTTGGTCCAGCGGTTGAGATACCGGTGGAGGGGCCTGCGTTTGCATGGTCATTATACTTGCTCATTTGCTCTAAGTGAGGACCAGCTCTACGCCGTGCCCACCGGCACAGTCACTCGCGTGCTGAGGGTCTCGGAGCTGTCAGCCAGTCAGGGCAGAGCGAGAGTTTATTTATGATTTTTAAAAAATATTTATTTATTTTATTTGAAAGAAAGAGTTACAGAATCAGAGAGAGAGGTCTTCCATCTGCTGGTTCACTCCCCAGATGGCAGCAACAGCCGGAGCTGCGCTGATCTGAAGCCAGGAGCCAGGAGCTTTTCCGGGTCTCCCACGCGGGTGCAGGGGTCCAAGGACCTGGGCCATCTTCTACTACTTTCCAAGGCCGTAGCAGAGAGCTTGATCGGAAGTAAAGCAGCCAGGACTTGAACCAGCACCCATATGGGATGCCAGCCGGCACTGCAGGCGGCGGCTTTACCCGCTGCGCCACAGCGCCGGCCCCAGCTGGGACTTAAGTTCGACTCTGTCTGCCTCCAAGCTCTCCTGCTGCCTTTCCCGCGTGATTTCTGTTCGTTCTCTCTCTCCCCCTCAGACGAAGAAGGCGCCCCCCACTGCGGACTCTAAGGTGCCTCCCCCGCTGGCGTGGGACTCAGTAAGTGGCACGCGTCTTGCGGACGGCTTCCCACGTGGCCGCGAGGGCCCGGCAGGTCCCCGTGTGCAGCCTGGTAAATATGTCTGTTTCTTACGTCAGGTGGAAGAAACTGTTCATGATGCGCTTGCTAGGAATCTGCCAGCTTTTTATAAAATGCTGCAGTCCTACGACCTTGGAGACACAGGGCTCATTGGTCGAAATAATTTCAAGAAAATCATGCAAATATTCTGCCCATTTTTAACGAATGAACATATAATAAAGTAAGTTTTTTGGTAACAAAATTAATTCCTATCACATTTTTCCTCAAGTCTAGTTCATAATTCTAAGCCCTTTCCTGTATGTTTTTGCAATACTGATAGGCGTCTCGGTAACATTAGCTACTATTTATTGAGTCTTTCCTAAGCATTGCGCATTGTGGTCCTCACCACACCCGCGGCAGGTAGCTAGGACGCTACTCCCAGAGGTTCGTGGGGAAATGGAATTAAAGGTAAGAGTTTACTTGGGTGAAAAAATTTTTTATAATACAAATAAAATGTGCATTCAGGAAAAAAACATACTTTTCAAAAAATTTTTGCATCAAAATAAACCCATTCTTTTCATTTCGTTTTTCTGTAAACGTTTTGAAGTGCCCTTGTGTTACCAGTCCTTTTTTTTTTTTTTTTTTTTTTTTTTTTTTTTTGACAGGCAGAGTGGACAGTGAGAGAGAGAGACAGAGAGAGAAAGGTCTTCCTTTGCCGTTGGTTCACCCTCCAATGGCCGCCGCGGCCGGCGCGCTGCGGCCGGCGTACTGCGCTGATCCGATGGCAGGAGCCAGGAGCCAGGTGCTTTTCCTGGTCTCCCATGGGGTGCAGGGCCCAAGCACCTGGGCCATCCTCCACTGCACTCCCTGGCCACAGTTACCAGTCCTTTTTATGCATAAAGAAGCTGAGATTTGGAGAAGTTCCACGCCCAGTCTGCGTCACGGCTGGCGAGGGCTGGGCCTGAGCGCTGCCCCATCCTCTGGGACTCTTGTGGGTCCTGTCTGTCTGTCTGTGTCTCTCTCTGCCAGCAAACACCTTTTCTTTGTTTTTGTAACATTTTCTGTAGTGCCCAGAGGCCAGGATCTCACTAAGCTGTGGTCTGACGGCCGTCCTGAGGTCATCACGGTGGAGTCCTGCGGGTCGGGCGTCGTCCTCAGGACTGGGCTGTGGGTATCTCTCCACACGTGGTGGACCCTCAGCTACCCAGGGCATGGTGCGTGCTGGGCCTGAGCCATTGTGTTTTGTCCAGGCCGTGGGGAGTGTTTGCACGAAGACGTGTTTGCTAGTGTGGGGGAACCAGGTGACAATGCGTCGGGAGAGGCCCAGGGACCCCAGGTGGGAGAAGTGGGCCCAGGACCCACCTGCTGCCCCGCCTGGTCCCTGCGCCAGTGCCAGCCGCATCCCAGACGTCCTAGCTGAGAGGCTGCACAAACCCATGACTCTCAGGGCCGCCTGGCGTGGGGCACGAGGTGTGGACAGGAGGCAAAAGCGCCGATTGCGGGGAGTGTGACTCCTTCGAGCCCAGGGCCCACGTGTGTCCCGGCTGTGCTGGGGAAGAAGCTAACAGGAAGCTGGGGATGAGCTAGAATCCGGACGGGAGTGGCTGTGCGGCAGGTGGGCCCCTGGGCGGCCGAGAGCAGAGGCTGGTTGGAGGATGGGGAGCTTGGGAGATTGGGGAAGGTTTGGGACGACGTCCAGGGGCAAGAGAAGGGGACCTCTTGGGACCCCTGTTTGCCGACGGCTGAGACAGCAGGTGTCTCGCTCCCTGTATGGATTCCTGTTGTCTGATTTCTAGCTTCCTCTGGCTGATTCTTCAGTTAGTCTGCGTAAGAGGCCAGTGCTTGCTACCACACTCGCCGCCCGGCCGCACCTGACAGCTGAGCGCAGCCCAGTGACGCCAGCACCGGCTGCAGACGTCCTGGCCAGCTGCCCCACCTGCAGTGGCCCCGGCCCGGCCCACCCACTCTTGCTGTGTTAACATGTCGGCTAAAAGTAGCAGAAAGGACGGGAAATAGAGTGGACGTCCCAGGAAGTTAGAGGAAAGAAATTGGCAAGTGGGTTCCTCGGTGCTGGCCAGGGCTGGACAACTTGCTGATCTCAGTGGCTGCTGGGAGCTAGGGATGGCCCAGGCCCGGTGGAGGGGTTCCTGTGGCCACGCCCCCGTGTCTGTCCCCTGTGGAGGGGTTCCTGTGGCCACACCCCCATGTCTGTCCCCTGTGGAGGGGTTCCTGTGGCCACGCCCCCGTGTCTGTCCCCTGTGGAGGGATCTGCTGTGATGTGGCTCCCTTCTCCCTGTCACTCCCGTGGAATGTCTGTCGTGACCACCTGTGCAGGTTCAGGACCTGCGAGTGCTGCGCTGGGGGTGAGGAGAGAGTAGGCGGGGAGGACTCTAAGTGTCCGACTCCAGGGACCAGGGGCTTGGTTGCCACATTAGGCAGAGTGAAACCAGACATTCCATTCACCTGTGTGACCCTGGGGGAGGCTGGCGGTGTGGCGCTGCCCAGGGTGGGGTCCCCACCGCCCTCCCACGCTGCACGGCCCCTCCCCCATCCCCGATGCCTTGCTGCTGGCTGCCATCATGGTTTGCTGATGTTGGTCATTCAGGCCGCCCACCAAGGTGCTATGGGCGGAGGCTCTGCCCTGTCAGCTCTGAACCCCAGCGCCCGGGGGCAGGACAGGGCCCGGACGCACTCAGGGCTGGGTGAGCGAGTGGAATATGGAGGCTCAGTCGCGTAGGCCACCCCCCACCTCCGAGGTGTAGCCACGCGTGGGCTATGCTGCACACCTGACTGTGCTGGTCCACCAGCAGGCCAAGGCGGAGCAGCTGCCCAGAGTGGGCGGTGCAGCCCGGGCTGCCGCAGTCCAGACTCCGGTGCGGCCCTGAGCCAGCCGAGAGCCTGGGCAGGTGGCTTCCTCCCCTGAGCTGCAGGACTGTGAAACCTCCCGGGTGAGTGTGGGAGATCTTGGTGGATGCATGCTGCCCCATGGCCGCACTCCACCGCCGTGGGCCGGAACGGCTTTGGTTCCCTCCTGCCTCTGAGTGTTTAGGCCGCCCCTTGCCCCCGTGGAACAAAGCTCCGGGCTGTGGGCACCTTTGTCCCGGTCCACCGGGGTGACCACAGCCGCGGCGCTGGCGGGGCCGAGCGTGGCTTCGGTGTGCATCCTTGCAGGATAGGCGCCGCTCTCACTACAGCGCTGTTACGGACGCACGTGCGTGTCCCAGCGCCGTACTCAGCGGTTTCTGGGTGGTCTCGTGCTTGGCGCTGTCGAGGTCCTCGGCAGGTGCTTTCGTCATTGGCCTTTGGCAGATGGGGACCTGCAGCACGGGCAGGGTGGGTGACGTTGGCTGCACTCAGCATCCCAGCGCCTCCGACCCTGGCTCTGGCTTCTGCCCGTGACCTACGACCTCCAGGAGCCACCCGTCCCTCAGGGTCCCCCGGGGTGGCAGCAGGGAGCAGGGTGCCGGCGGTGTCTCCACGCGGGCTCAGGAGAAGCGTCGGGATATGCGGTGGTGATCTGTGGGGTGATGGTGGGGGTACGGTGATTACGGCAGGTGTGACCAGGGCTGGTCAGGCCCAGGGAGTGCAGTGAAGAAGCCGAGCGGGTCTCTGGAACTCACTGGCTCCTTGCAGACGTTCCGAGATACAGGCTGTGCAGCACACGTGCCATTAGCTGTCAGGGCCCAGACAAGCACCACCGCACACGCGGGGAAACTCAGAGAGGAGCTGGCGACGCCCAGTGTTACAGGGACGCTGCTCGTCCTCAGAGCCCACTTGAGAGTGGCCGCCTGCAGTCACGCCCTTCTCAGGCCCCACCAGGGAGGACTGGCCCACGGCCTGGTCCCTCTGCTCTGTGGCCTAGTCACACTGTTCTCCTACCCCACCAGGGAGGACTGGCCCACGGCCTGGTCCATCTGCTCCATGGCCTAGTCACACTGTTCTCCTACCCCACCAGGGAGGACTGGCCCACGGCCCAGTCCCTCTGCTCCATGGCCCAGTCACACCGTTCTCCCACCCCACCAGGGAGGACTGGCCCACGGCCCAGTCCCTCTGCTCCGTGGCCCAGTCACACTGTTCTCCCACCCCACCAGGGAGGACTGGCCCACGGCCTGGTCCCTCTGCTCTGTGGCCCAGTCACACTGTTCTCCCACCCCACCAGGGAGGACTGGCCCACGGCCCGGTCCCTCTGCTCTGTGGCCCAGTCACACTGTTCTCCCACCCCACCAGGGAGGACTAGCCCACGGCCACGGTCCCTCTGTTCCAGTCACACCGTTCTCAGGCCCCACCAGGGAGGACTGGCCCACGGCCCGGTCCCTCTGCTCCGTTCCGTGGCCTTGTGGATTTTGATGATTGTGGGAGCTTTGTTTGAGTCCTCAGGCCTTGCCAAGTTTGCAACAAGGCGCAGGCCCTCTGTGTTGAGCCGGTGTTCACACAGCACGCAGAAACGCACGCTGCCGTGTGCTGCAGTCTGCATGTGGGAGAATCCCAGCAGAGCGTTTACACGCGTGCCAGACCCTCTCAGGAAGCCGTCCCTCCCTGGCTCACGCTGCATCTGTTGTGGGGTGCACTGTTCGCAGTACGCCGCACACGTTTCAGTGGTGCGGTTTGATGAACGCTGTCACGTGGCCACACCCACAAAACCGCCACAAGACACCAATCGAGACAGAGAACATTTCTTCTCTCCCGGAAGCTCCCTTTGCAACCCGGCACCCCTCCCCCACCCACCCCTGCTCTCCCTCACCCCTCCCCCACCCACCCCTGCTCTCCATCCCCCCTCCCCTACCCACCCCTGCTCTCTATCACCCCTCCCCCACCCACCCCTGCTCTCCATCACCCCTCCCCTACCCACCCCTGCTCTCCATCACCCCTCCCCTACCCACCCCTGCTCTCCATCACCCCTCCCCCACCCACCCCTGCTCTCCATCACCCCTCCCCTACCCACCCCTGCTCTCCATCACCCCTCCCCCACCCACCCCTGCTCTCCATCACCCCTCCCCTACCCACCCCTGCTCTCCATCACCCCTCCCCTACCCACCCCTGCTCTCCGTCTCCATCAATCGCTGCTCTTTCCAGGGCTGTGTACAAGGCTTTCCTTTGTGTCTGGCTTCGTTGGCGAAGCGTGATGACGTGTGACGAGGCATGATGGAGCGTGATGACTCTGAGATGCGTCCGTGTCCTGTGGACGGGCGCTCCACCCCTGTTCTCTGCCGAGTGGAGTTCCGTCGTGCGACTTCCGCACCGTCTGGACTCGCTGGTCTGTCGGTGGACGTGTGGCACGGGCTCTGTTTCTGACCTTTGGCCACCACAAAGGAAGCCGTCTGAAGCGTGTGCGTCCAGTGCGGGCATCCGTTCTCACACGCGCTCTCCCCTGTCTGCTGAACGCCTGGACCGCGTGCCAGGCTCCCGGAAGCGGCCCCCCCTGCTCCCTCCGCACCGGCGGCGGCGGCCCAGGGCGGGCCTGACTCACTGCGCGGTAGGTCCACCTCTGAGTGCTCGCCGTTCTAACGGCGTATCTGCTTGCTCTCAAAACGCAGGCTCTGCAGCGGGTTCCGGGACTCTGCCTCCGGAAGGATCCTCCACAAGAAGCTGCTGGCGTGCATCGGCGTCGGCAGCCCCCCCGGCGCCTCTCCAGCGCCTCCCCCAAAGGAGCAGCCCTCAGGTGGGGGGCGCCCCCCCAGGGAGGAGCAGCAGCCAGCGGCCCTCCCCGAGAGGTAACGGGGACCGTGTGGGGCCGTGCTGGGGCGGGCGGGCGTGTGTGGCCCGCGGTTACGACACTGCTTAGGGCGCCAGGTTCAAGCCCAGCTCTGGCTCCCGACTCCGGCTTCCAGGGAGGCAGCGGTAGTGGCTCCAGCCCTGGGGCTCCTGCCACCCACGGGAGACCAGGCTGGAATTCCTGACCCCGGCTTTGACCACAGCCGGGGGAGTTGCAGGCACCTCGGGGGGAACCAGCTGGTTGGAGCACTTTGTCCGTCTGTCCATCTGTCCGTCCGTCTATTCCTGTCTCTGTCTCTCTTTGCTTCTTAAATAAGCACATAAATAGCTTAGGAAACACCATCACGGTGCCCCGCGTGGGATGGGCATTTAGTAAATATTTGCTGGCTAAATGAGTACTTGAATATTTTACGATGTACAGCGGGAACGCGGCACACTGCACTACAGTGGTCGGAGCAGGGGATGTCTGAGCAGAGGCCTCGGCAGTGACTGAATTCACAGCCAAGAGCCCAGGGGTCCGGGGCCTGGGCACCGGCCTGGGCCAGGACGCTCGGCTCCCAGAGAACTCGGCTGCCGCCGCTGACACCCCCCACGCCTCCTCTTTATGGCAGCTGGACCCTGAACGTTGCTTAACGTTTACTGCGAACGCACCCGTTCGGCCGGAGGGGTGAGGTGAATGATTGCTAAATTGAATTGTAACAATGAAGCTTGGTTAGTAAATGTATAAAAAATCAGACTGGCGTACATTCTAGTTCTTCATTTTCAAAAATGCAGGTCTACTTTAATGAAAAGATATTATTTTAACTTCCTTGTTCATAGCTTGTAATAAATCCACAAGGCAAGGCAAAATGTGGAACTATTAGGCAGTCTTCACTCTGTCATATCCCTTTTAAAAAGTTCTCAAGAATAGAGCCGTGGATTATTTTAATGATATGCTAATGCAATTTGAATAGCTGGGTTTTTCAGTCAGCGCTGCTGTATAAATGGGCAGAAAGATGGTATTTTAAGACATGTTAAATGTTCTGTGATAAGATTCGTCTCCTTCTAAAATGGGTAAAAAGTAACGGCAATTAAGGATCTCCTGGAAGGTGGATGTCGCGGGCGCGCTGTGACGGCGGGAGCGCGGAGGAGCAGTCGGCTCCCGGAGCTCCCTGAGCGGTCTTCCCGGAGGTTAGGGCTGCAGAGACCTGCAGAGTGCGAGGCCGTGAGGACATGATGGTCCCACACCCACACGCACATGCATGCGTGTTCACACACACGTGTTCACACACGCACATACACACATGTGTTCACACGCACATGTGCCCACACACGCACATACACACGAACACTCGTTCACACACGTGCACATGTGTCCACACACGTGTTAACACACATACACACGCATATATGTTCACACGCGCACACGTGTTCATGCACACGCACACCCTCCCTCCCTCCCTCTCTCTGTCCCCGAGCTCATCACAGGAAGCGTGTATTTGTGAATCAGTTGATTGCACCAGTCAGCCTGGAGTGTGCCCCCCGCCGTCACCTCCACGCGTGTCAGGTGTCTTCCTTGGTGGGGTTAACACAAGACGGCCTGTTTCTTAGGTCGAAGGCCCCCTGTGGGCTGTGGCATCACTTCCCAGTCCAGAAAGTACCCCCTTCATGCACGTGTGCAACCACGGCCGGGCCGGCCGACTCGGTGCTGGTGGGGCTCTCACACAGGAGAACGGTGCCCCCCCCCCGGCCTCCCCAGCCCCAGGAACGGCTCCTGCATGCGCTCGGGCTGCCACCTGCAGCCCGCCAGCGAGGGCGGGGAGCCAGCCACCCCACCTTCCCAGCCCTCCTGCCGCGGGGCGGGGCGGGGCGGGGCGGCGGGGGGCCTCCTTGCACGTCTGGAACACACCAGGTGATGCCGCGGCTGACCCCGCTTGTGGCTGTGATTGCAGAAGCAAGCCCGCGGAGGATAAGGGCGCCCCGGCCAAGTGCATGACCAAAGAGGAGGTCATCGCGAGGCTCAAGACCTGCATACGGCAGCAGGACCCGGCGTTCCGGAAGCGCTTCCTCGCTGTGAGCAAGGAGCCGCACGGGAAGATAGGCGTGCGCGCCTTCAGGAAGGTAGGCCCGCTCCGCCCTCTGTCCTGCTGCCTCCCGTGCAGGCTGGGCCATCCCGGGGCGAAGCCCACCGCCCCCGGCCGCCTCTGGGGGCTTCTCCAGGCAACGCCTCCCCTGCGGCTCTGGCCAGCTCTCCAGGTGCAGGCTCTGAAGACACAGCGTTCGCCAAGGCGCCGCCTGGCTGCCTGCTGACTTCCTGGTGCCGGGCACCGCGGGGCCAGGGGCGGGCAGGAGCTCCTGCAGCCGTGTTTGTTCCTCCGGAAGTGAAAGAAGCCGGCACTGAAGCAGGGGCGCCTGTGCTGCCGGCGGCTGGCGAGCGGCTGCCAGCGAGGGCTGAGCGCGGAGTCGCGGGGCCTGTTCCAAACGAAGGTGCCCGTGACGGTCCCTCTGACGAGTCGTCTTCTGGCTGTAGCAATGTGCACGTGGGTGAACTTGGGAGGCGGCTGTGGCGGGTTTCCAAGGAGCCAGTGGCTGCGTGAGTGACCGCAGTCGGTCCCGTGCCTGCCCAGTGCCAGGCGCTGTAGCAGGTTCCCTAAGCTCTGTGTCTGAGCCCCCAGGAGCAGCACTCCCTGCTGAGCCACACGAGGGTGGGCTGGGAGGAGGAGTGGGGCTTGAGGCACAGAGATGGGGCCGGGCAGCCACCGACGCAGCCCCGCCCCTCTCTGCGCCCCAGGCTGAGAAACAAGAGGAGGAGAGGCCCGGGGAAAAGCACCCGTGACGCCAGGAGACGGGGTCGGGAGCTACTCGGGGGCACGGGGGAGGGGAAGGAGCGGGCGGGCTTCCCGGGGTCTGATTCGGGGCCCAGGTGGACACTCGCTGGTCACTGAGGGCTCTGACGGGAGGAACGTCGGGGTGAACAGGCGCCAGTCGTCTTCCGCCAGCCTCCCCCCCCCCCCACCCCGCCTGCTGGCCGTTGGGCCCTGGACTTTATTTCAGGCCTTGCCCCTAACACGTGACAGTCCTGGGTGTTCTGGATTCCTGGAGTGGACCGAGGCGCGGGAAACGCCAGCCCGCGGTCTGCCTCTGTCAGACGGGGAAGGAGAAGGGAGTGGGAGGTGGCCACGCGGGGACGCCCGCCCCCGGCTGCTCGTGGCTTACCAGCCACAGGTGCTCGCGGGCGTGTGCAGCCCGCCCTCCCCGCCGGCGCCGCCTCTGCCCGACTCCTCTCCACCGCACCTGCCGCTGTCCGCCGGCCGTGGAGCCCGTGGGGCCTCCTGCCTGTTCCTTTATTCCGCTCGACTGTCTCATGCTGTCACCACACAGAACCTTCTGATCTGTTTTACGCAGTACTGCACATGGTGGGCAGGATGTCGTCGGGCCGCCTCCCGGGTGTGCACGCGCGGGAACCTGGCACCTGACCCCAGGCGCCTCCGTACGGTGGGGCGTCCAGGTGGCATCTTCATGCCCTGCCGAGTGCCCATCGCTGCCTGGGTACCTCCTCCTTTCTTTCATTTTTGAAAGATTTCTTTCTTTATTTGAAAGGCGACATTACAGAGACAAAGGGAGAGACAGAACGAGATCTCTCATCCACTGATTCACTCCCCAGAGGGCCACGATGACTGGAGCCCAGCCAGCCCAAAGCCAGGGCCTAGAACTCCATCTGAGTCTCCCGTGTGACTGGCAGGGGCCCAGGTACTTGGCCGTCTTCCACTGCTGTCCAGGCGCATTGGCAGGGAGCTGGATTGGAAGTGGAGCGGCTGGGACTTGGAGCAGTGGGTATATAGGATGCTGGCGCTCAGGCTGGGGCTTTAACCCACTGTGCCGCAGTGCTGCCCCTAGAACAGGTGCTCATGCTGATGACCCAGGTGGTGGACCCACTCCGCTACAGTGCTGACCCCGAAAATACAACTTCTGATTCAGTCTACTGGGGCCTTTTTATCTAGTAAAGTAGGTCTTTGCTTGGTTTTCTTCCTCTTTGTATTTCTGGCTATCTTACTGCAGTTTATGTGTTTCTATATAAACTTTATAAAGAATCTATGTAGTTACCCCCTAAATACACCCTTGCATTCAGCTCCCGGGTTAAAAACATGTCTGCTTTTGAAACAGAGACAAGCGGCCATGGTCGGGTGGGGAGGTAGTGTTGGTGGAGAGCCCTGGCCTCCTGCGAGGGTGCGGCCGCCCAGTGGCCCCCCAGTGGCAGCTTCATCTGCTGCTCTGGTGTCCCCTTGGGGTCCACAGTCACCCTCTGAGCCGCAGACGCGAGTTCGCGGGTTTGAGAATGGCCTCCGTGCAGGAGGAGCTGTGCGTCTGCTCTTGGCTCCAGCGTTCACGGCGTCTTAGGGGCGGCCGGGCATTCAGCCTTGTGATTCAGGCACCAAGAGGGCATCTGCAGTGCACACTGGAATATTCTGGGCCAGCTCCCACCAGTGAGGGCACCCACAGTTCACACTGGAGCCTTCTGGGCCAGCTCCTACCATGAGGGCGCCCACAGTGCACACAGGAGTGTTCTGGGCCAGCTCCCACCAGTGAGGGCACCTGCAGTGCACACTGCAGCCTTCTGGGCCAGCTTCCACCAGTGAGGGCACCCGCAGTGCACACTGGAATATTCTGGGCCAGCTCCCACCAGAGAGGGCACCTGCAGTGCACACGGGAGTGCTCTGGGCCAGCTCCCACCAGTGAGGGCACCCGCAGTGCACACGGGAGTGCTCTGGGCCAGCTCCCACCAGTGAGGGCGCCTGCAGTGCACACGGGAATATTCTGGGCCAGCTCCCACCAGTGCAGACCTCGAGTGGCAGCAGTGAGGGTCCAGGGACTGAGTCCTCCCGACCACTTGTAGATTTCCCACATGTGCGCAAGGGGCTGGGTTCTGGACGTTTGCCTCTGCAGTCAGACACGCCATGCCTGGGATCCCCTTGCCACCTGTCAGAGGGTCTCACCTCCTGTTAGATTGAGGTCATCGCACTTTGCAGTTTGAAGGAGGTAGTCAGGGCCAGCGTCTGGTCGTTCTGAGCTGTCTAAACATAACATGAATCTTTTTGGCTTCCACGGGGACAGTGTGTTTTTAAAAATAAAGCAGACTGACAAATCATCACCATCACCATCATTATCACCATCACCATCATCACCACCACCACCACCATCACCATCACCATCACCATCACCATCATCACCACCACCACCACCATCACCATCATCACCATCACCACCACCATCACCATCATCACCACCATCATCACCACCACCATCACCATCATCACCACCACCATCACCATCATCACCATCATCACCACCACCATCATCACCACCACCACCATCATCACCATCACCATCATCACCACCACCACCACTATCACCACCATCACCACCACCATCACCACCACCATCACCACCACCATCACCATCACCACCATCACCATCACCACTATCACCATCACCATCACTACCATTGTGCCTGTGGCAAAAAATACCAGGAGCTGCTTTTCTGCTTTGTGATTGCCGCTAGCCAATCACAGCCCGGCTTGAAGGTCCGGAGTCCGGCATGAAGCTTTGGGGAGGATTGGATTTGGAAGTGGGGTGCAGTCCTGTGGCCATGGGCGGGGCAGAATGAGGCTGAGGACCACTTTCTGGATTTGGGCAGTCTTCAGTGTGGTGTGTAGGTCCCTGGTGTTGCTGCCAGTGCACAATCCCGCAGGGTTGGAGCTGGGAAGGGCCGCAGAGCCGATGCCCCATCCCTGCTGTCTCCAGCCAGTGAGCAGAGTGCACCTCCCTGACCGCCAGGAGGGGCTTCCTCAGCAGGGTGTATGTGGGGCTTAGCCTGAGCGGATCCTCCAGGGCTGTACGTGTCCCAGCCCGGTCTGTGTCCCGAGCCAGGGCCACCAGAGTTTTATGTGGCCCAGCTTTGTGTCCCGAGCCAGGGGCCACCAGGGCTGTATGTGTCCAGGCCATGTCTGTCCTGAGCACGGGCCACCAGGGCTGTATGTGTCCAGGCCATGTCTGTCCTGAGCAGGGGCCACCAGGGCTATATGTGTTCAGAACATGTCTGTGTCCCGAGCCAGGGGCCACCAGGGCTGTATGTGTCCAGGCCATGTCTGTCCTGAGCAGGGGCCACCAGGGCTGTATGTGTCCCAGCTGTGTCTGTGTCCTGAGCTGTCCCTTCACTTTGGTCTCCAGAGTGAACCCATGTGGGACAGGTCTAAATTTCACCTGCAGCCTGGGCCATGCCCAGTCTACCTGTGGTCTGAATCCAACACCCAGCAAAGCCCGTGTGACATCAGCCACCCCACACTCGTCCCACAGACCCACGCATGCTTGCTTTGTCTTAGGCCACCGCGGTTTGGTGGTCTGTCATGCAGCAGCTGCCATGGCCCCAACCAAGCAGCACATGATGGTCTCCAGTATGTCCTCTGCAGAGAGTGCCGGGGCTGGGCCACTGGCGTGGGAGCCACGCATCGTCCAGGGTGGACCCTGTGCGCCAGGAGCTCCGCTGCCCGCTCACTGTACGGCCAGGCTCACGGGCCCGCCAGGTGCTGGCAGTGGCTCCTGTGCCGGGTGGTTGGAGCGGTGCACACCCTGGCAGGTGCTCGTGTGTCTGGGCCTTGCGTTCCTGTCTGTAGGTGATGAGGGTGAAGCCGAGGCTCTGTTCCCTCCTGGTCATCTCTGGATGTCCAAGCAATGTGTGCTTGTTCCCACCAGCTCTGTCTTCCTGGTCACGCCTTTGTGGGGACGCTGGTGCAAGGTTTAGGTAAGGTGATGTATAGAAGTAGCCCGTGTGGCTCCTGGTGAGACAGGACAGACGCAGGACTCGCCAAACCACACTCCCTCCCACCTGGACATGCACCCCTCCCCTACCCAGGCCACTAGCCAATCAGGAGCCAGGGACAGTCACGCCGGGACCACAGAAGGTCCCCTGCTGCCCCTTCAGGCAGTGCCCAGCCCAAGCACACACGCAGAACGGCTCAACACAGCAGGTTCACGACCTTCCTGGGTGGCAGCACTGCCGTTTCCACCTCGTGTGCCAAAGGAGCTGCACCGAGCAGAACCCCCAGCTGGGTGTGAATGAAGCG